CGCACTTCCTCCGAACGCCTTTGACACTCATTGTTGACACTGTTACACTACTTACACTATAAACTGCTAATTTGCGCAGTACCTTACAATGATTCTCGAGTCATTGAATGTAAAAATTATAGATATTAAGGCGACACGGCCACCAAATTTCACCAATTGCAGATGCGTTGTCTGTCCACCTTTAATCGACGGAATGGTCGTACACAAATATACCCTATATATAGGATCCTGCAACTTCCTTATACTTCGTAAGCTATTTTTCAGCATCTGTGTATTATATTCAAATTTTCTACTGCAATTTAAGAATAGACTAGTTTAAATTGACAAGCAAAAACTTGTTGCTTTTGATAAGAATGAAATAATTTATCTGTCCACAGAATCTCAGAAACCTCTGCACTTTTCTAGCGAGAAACTAAATGTGATCCCTTTCTTATCCAATATTTACACCGTATAGAAAAAAAAATCAGCTGTTCCAAAATCAATTGTCGAAAAAGTTTACTATACATTTGAGCTTACTTCACAATATAACAGACACCTAAACAAAAAGTGCACCTCTAAGGGTTCGAGTGAAGTTTACACAAAAGAGAGACGTAATTCCAAAGAAATAGAGATGAATATAACAAAATCAGTATGGTGGTAGTTTTAGGGTGGGGGTTATGGGTTCATTGATCGCATCTATTGTGAAGGCGCGCGTGCGGCGGCAGCTGCTCTAGCCGCCCTAGCTTTCGGCCCAGCAGATGGTAGATTTTTCAAAGAGCTTTTTTTTAATAAAGGAAATCATCTAAAAATTTGCGTCACGCATGACATCCCATTATGATAAAAAAGTGGTATACAAAATTATTTTTGTAGATATGTAAATTATCAATAGTAGTTTGTCATTCACTTATTTAGTAATCAGAAACTAAATTAAAATTATGAATACGTACTTTTGTCTTATATTTGCATTTCCCTTTTAATCCAAGTCCTGTTATGTTTGATTTTATAAATATTTTGAAGTTATGATTTTAAACCCTTGCTTCAAACCAATCAAAATATAACTAACTATATATTTTGTCTATGTGTACCTTTACGAAATGATAAAATGATTTAAGACTGCGATTCAATTATCACAGGGCGCTTATAAGACGCGTTCTTGAACAGAAATTTAAGGAAAAAAATCATCCGAATTAGATTAATGTTTGATTTTTGTTGTTCCTAAAAAAATCTAAAACGCCATCTTGTTGAATACTGCCACCTTAAATTAAATTCATAATACTGCCATCTTTAGTAGACCTTGCATACTTATTGATTCAATATTTTTTCGCCGACAATAAAAGTTTTTCTTTCAAAAGATAGATGGCGCTCTAACCAAATGCTTATTACTAGCTTCTTGCTAGAAGACACAGATAAATAATGCTACTAATCGTTAGATGGCACTGGAACTTTGGTTTGTTCAGAATTTTGTTTGATATAGCTATTTATAGTTTTGTTAAATTTAGTACATTATCTTTAATTTCTCACGGAATAAGTTACGTTAAATGGTAAAGAAGATAATTAGATTATCGGAATATGACAAATGTTAACATCAATACTTAATGTGAATCATTGCAATTACTCAATTATACATAGTTAGTAGTTCCGTTTATTAACCTTGATATGAACTGCCGTATGAATTAAAACACCGATAGAATATTACAATATTTATGAAACAGCCGATGACGTATTAAGTCATATCTTAAAATAAACAGTGATCAAAATTGTGACTGTAGTCCTACGCTATAAAATTTAATGTCGTGGTGGCGTCACCGTTAATTACAACCTTGGTTAAGATGACTATAAACAGAGATTTAATGTGACTCATTTCTTTTGCTTCAAATTACTTTCTATAAAGTGCATCTTATTGCTTAATTATTAGTTAAGTAATAGTGGGTCTACTTCAAATTATTTGTTCTTTCCAAATTGTATAATACGTATATAATACATTTCTTAAGATCTCTACTTCGTCGCGATTGCTTTTACCTAAAATTATATTTTATGCCTAAGTTAAATTTGGACTGTGACTCATAAATAACTTATTCAATGTACTTATACTAAACCTATATTCATGTGACCCACGTCACCTCATAAATAGAAGTTACCTTAAACTTTGAACCTTTGCATCAGTTCAGTTGTTAAGTTGATAAATACTAATATTTTCATTTGATGAATAGATATCATTTGACAGTGTTATTAATTAGTAACAATTTACAACATTGTATGTATTTGTAATAAATATGATTGAAATAATGTTAATAAGTAAAGGATGTATCCTTTCTAGTGTTTCTTTTTTAATAGTATATCGAAAGATCGTGTACAAATTTCCATTCAAAAGTAGTTTTTTTTCTCTTAAGCAAATATTTTTATTCATACTTTGGATTAGGAGAAATTTTAAATATCCAGTCTTTTATTTTTATGTAAGCTACAAAATTACATATATAGATACTAATTGTCGCCCGTGACTCCACCGGCACGTCATTAAAAACATAATAATTAGTAACATAAGTGTTCTTCCATGCTGTGTTATACACCTAAGCCAAAATTCAGAGAGATCCATGCAACCGTTCTGGTGATACTTTCTAACAAACATCCATCCATCCATACATTCGTATTTATAATATTAGTAATATTACATATCGAGATGTTTCTGTTGTTTACGTATATGAAGAATTCGTCAATATAGTTATCTAGAAAACATAAATATAATTATGTTGTTTACCTGGCCTTTACGTACTCATCAAACGTGAAGGTCAAAGCAAGCTTGTACCTACTCCATACTATAGTTGCTTTGCTTCGTTACGCTTCAAAATACAGCGTTATTTTGATCAGACTGGGGAATATAATTTTGTCATACCTACTATAAAATGTTTTATGTACGTATTTAAATATATTCACTCTACATTATAAAATAAGGTTGGTTGATACATTTTCGATTAAAAAACTAACGAAAATGTCGTACCTTTTTTGCAACCGGTACCTATGACATCATCTCTGCGCTGCGACGCTAGACTCGACGCGACCCGAGGCCCGAGGCCGCGGAATGCGGTCTCACACGAGCTCAGTTTTCAAATATCGCGGACGAAAGCGGACGGTTTTATTTTCGCAAACGGTGAAAAGTTCTTAAAAAATTATCAACATGGCTAATGTCATGGGTAAGTAGACTTTTTTTTAATACTTAAGAAACCTTATTGTGACAGAATGAACTATTTTTAATTTTTGTTCTTAGAAGTTTCATACTCGTATTTATCATCTGCAATTTTTCTAATCAGATTCGTTGATGTTGAGGTAAATAAACCAGCCGGCTTTTTTCTGGACTGAAGCCAAAGTCGGGTGTGGCAAAAACTAAACTACTTTTGTCGAAGAATCCACAGTATTAAAACTTTCCGTAGTGAATGGGATATAATTACATCAAGATAAATTTTTAACTGATCATTTTTTTGACATCGTTAGCATTGACATTATTTATATGTACTTGGGAAATCAAGATACTTAACTTAGATCATATGTTTAAATTATAAATTTATTCTTCAAACAAATCATCGATTTAAC